ATGCTAACTGATCTGTAAATAAAGAAATAAAATAGTTGTAATGTTAATGCCACCACCACTGGTCAGACTATAAGGGACAGGGTCCAAAATTTTATAAGATCAACACATCTGATTGCTTATCCACTCATCCCCCAACCATCCAGTTATTTACCCCTTCCTCTCAACACTTGTGAATATCTACAGGTTGATTTCTCTCCAGTTCCCCACCCCTGTTCCTGCTCTCAATCTCAGTCCAGCTCTCTTGCTCCTCATCAGTGCCCCAATGTTGTCCAAGCAATTAGCTGTGGCTGTAACCATGGCAACAGAGATAGGAGCTCCTGGCGCTCCCAGCCCGCACCTTGCTGCCGCTGGCTCAGGCACAGATGACTCATTAGGGAAACTGAGATGAAGGGGGGCGACTGTCCCTAGGTCCACACGGCCAGTTCCAGCAACTGCTATTCCCATACCATGAATCACAACACAGCATACAGACACACAAATACACAACCACAGAGCTTAAACATCAAAAACAAACTGCGTTCACACTTCAGACAAAAAAAAAAAAAAAAAGTCACCGAGTCTGTCTGTATGTCTGTTATGATCGAAAATATTAGTAATGGATTTACTCATTAGCCTTAAATGAGATTCGTTACTTGAAGAGATTCATTGATTCTGCTAAAACGACTCTGTGAATCTATACAATATCCTGAACACCACAGAAATCAATGGCCATTTAGTTTTTAACACACATAAAACAGTTTCCACAGATGTAGTTTGAATATGAAATCATCAAATCCTTATATTTCATAAATAATAAGACATTAAAGTGAATAAATGCACACAAATAATACATATACAACTGAAACGGTTTAAGGCCTTGACCAGAAACAATCATGAGATGAAAGATTCAGAATCAGATTATGAACAAATGTCAGAAAGAAGACAAATATGAAGATGAAAAGAGTACTCCAGAAAGATCCGGATGGGAAAGAGTGTGCGTGATGGGACTCACCTGTGTGTACGCCATCCTCCTCTTACTCTCGCCCCACTGTCTCTCTTCCCATCCAGAGCAACATGCCACTCTCTGGATCCAGGTTTACTCAACAAAAGAGGGAGAAAGAGCGAAAGAGAGAGAGAGACAATCTGTAGATGTGAATCGAGTAATGAATTCAGGTCTCTGTGGACTTGGTTCCTCCATCCATCCTTACTTCAAGAGTGATGATGACCCAAATACAAAACAAACAAACCCCCTCTCCCTCAGTCTATCTCTCTATCTATCTCCTCTTCATCTTCAATCCCACCCACCCAGACACTCCTAATCTCCCTCTCTTTCCTGCCTAGTCCTCATGAATGACACGCAAGACAGCCAGCTCTCCTCTCCTCTCCCTGGAGAGAGCAGAGCCCTCCTCCCCTCCTTCCCCCTCCTGCCCTGTGTTTCTTTCAGAGACCAGTGACTCATCCAGGTTTGCAGAAGCACTGATGGATATCAAATTTGTTATGTGCATCCCTCCCCGCCTCCTCCAGCCTATTTTTACAGCACCTCGCTGGCTGCAACCACTTGTTGTTCCCTTCACAGCGGAACGAGTGGAGAGGCTGAGGAGAGACGGGCAGGTGAAAGCAGCATGTTACATGGGGAGTTTACAAGAGCCGGGGTCTGTGTGGCTACCTGCTGCTGCTCTGTGACTGAGGTACGCCGACGTGCTGCCGTCTTTAAAACGTGCTTGTGTTTCGAGAGCCTGTGAGTTGTGTTATCTGTATATGACAGGATGGTCATTTGTGGTGCAGCATTGTAACCTGAGTTTGTAGATCACAAGGAACTTTAAGTTTCCTTGGAAACGGCAGGGGCACATGACCTGTTGCTGAAAGGCCTCGCTCACCAGGCATGTATGGAGCACGTCAGGTTATGGGGACTAAAATTTCACAGAGTGTTGGACTGAACTACAGCGGCTGAAAAACATACACTACAGTTCAAAAGTGAGTTTTTTTCCCTGAAAGAAATCAATAGCTTTATACAGTAAGGAAACAAAAGATTTATTTTACAAATACATGCTATTTTGAGCTTTTGAGCAATCTATTTACCAAAGAATCTTGAATTTAAAAACATGTATTGTGTTTTTCACCAAAAAATTAAGGACATCTGCTTTAAACATTGGTTATAATAAGATTTCTTTTAAGAAATGTTGAGCAGCAAATCAGCATATTAGAATGATTTCTGAAGAATCATGTGACACTGAAGACTGAAGTAATGATGCTGAAAATTCAGCTTTGCATCACAGGAATAAATTACCATTTAAAAATATATTCAAATAGAAACAATTCTTTGAAATTGTACTAATATTTCACAATGCTACTGGTTTTACTCATTTATGATCAAATAAATGCAGCCTTTGTGAGCAAAAGAGACTTCTTTAAAAAAAAAAATCATTACATTTTGTACAAAAATAAATGTGCAAGGAATAAATGATTTTTTTTTTTTTTTTTTTTTACAAAATAACTAGTAAAGAAGCCAAAAAGTAACATGGGCAAGGAAAAAAAGTAAGATGTTTAAATAGAAGAGGAAGGAACACTAGGTGTACTGTAAACAGTCCCTAGTGAAAAATAAATGGACTATAATGTATTTGAAATACATTTATTTAATGCTAAGTATACTACAAATACATTTTTATGTACTAAATATAATTTTTGTATATTTAGTATATATACATTTTGGTATGCTAAACTGGTATACTTAAAGTCTGCTAAATTGGAACAACTAATTTTGTACTTAATGCACTTTAATTGGGCTGAAGTCCAAATAAAGATATACTGAAGTATATTTGATTGTGCTAAAGTGGAACTATTGCAAGTATAAGATCATACAATCCTCATCAAGTGACATTAAAACACATTTTAGGCTTAATATTAAGAAATATACATTGTGCACCAGTAGTAGGCCTACTTCAAATGAAGTTGAAGTGTAATTTTTATATCAGTAAATCTAGAGCAAATTTTTATTTTTTTTTTTTTACAAAATAACTAGTAAAGAAGCCAAAAAGTAACATGGGCAAGGAAAAAAAGTAAGATGTTTAAACAGAAGAGGAAGGAACACTAGGTGTACTGTAAACAGTCCCTAGTGAAAAATAAATGGACTATAATGTATTTGAAATACATTTATTTAATGCTAAGTATACTACAAATACATTTTTATGTACTAAATATAATTTTTGTATATTTAGTATATATACATTTTGGTATGCTAAACTGGTATACTTAAAGTCTGCTAAATTGGAACAACTAATTTTGTACTTAATGCACTTTAATTGGGCTGAAGTCCAAATAAAGATATACTGAAGTATATTTGATTGTGCTAAAGTGGAACTATTGCAAGTATAAGATCATACAATCCTCATCAAGTGACATTAAAACACATTTTAGGCTTAATATTAAGAAATATACATTGTGCACCAGTAGTAGGCCTACTTCAAATGAAGTTGAAGTGTAATTTTTATATCAGTAAATCTAGAGCAATATGTCATTAAATATGTTAATAGATTTGAACTATACTTAGTATGAGAGATTGTGTGAATTCAGGCGTTTTATTTGGTTCTGTTCTTGAGAACCTGTTGAAAGGCTTGTCTGATAAAAATCAAACATAGACTTACAGTGACCTCTGCTGCCATATCAGGCATCTTTCTGCTAGTTCACCTAAATATGATAATTCTGGCATTTTCCTGATAGTCTTGTCTTTTGACCCATATGACTTCCACAAAAGAGTTACAGTGCTGTGTGTGTATAGTAAAATGTCCAAGCTACTCTTTTCTGTAAAATTCAAATGGATGGTGACCACAGCCGGCAAGCAAGATTTCAAGTAAATAACTAATTCATGATGTAATTTTCAGTCTGTTCCACAGCTATCATTTGACTTCAGAAAGCTTGGAAGATAGTTGCATTAACTTTTATGATGCCTTTGTGTGTGTGTCTATTTTGGAGCTTCACAGACACAGGTATATTGTTGGATCTGTGATGAATTGCTAATATTCCTCTATTGTAAGTTATTTGAGCATTCAGGTTGAACATGAAGCATATGAGGTAAATTATTACAGAAATGTTGGGTAAAAATGTAGGTGCAATATATCCACTCTAAGTTCCAAATGACTGGGTTCATTGAGAATGTATAAAGCTCACCAACACCCAAGACATCTGTCACATTTGAAATCATTATTAGAGTGAGCCAGACACTATAAAAATACAAAGCATTTAACCTTGCATACTGTGAGATTGTTTAAAAAGCAGAATTATGATATTTTTATCCCATATTACTTGTCCCCCAAACACATACTGACCTCTTGTGGCACCCAATCACGTGTTCATGACTACAGCTGTGATCTGCTTTGCCAACTAATCAAATTCTGTAAGCAAATGCATAAATTAAATGATTAGAAAGGATGAGATGATATCCTTATGTTAGAGAGCACCAGCGTAATGCCACACTATAATTTAAAATGAGCCACATTGCTCTAAACATAACACTCAATTGAGAATAAACACCGACAAACAAGACTATACAGAAGACAATTACTGTGACTGTGTCTGAGTGGGAATTTTTTTTTTTTAGTATTATGAAAAATAAAACATTTAAATAGAGCAAGTTGAACTGTGTCATGTGACAAATGTTTAGACTGCACTGAGAAAAAGTAGGTCACCTAAATATGGATTATTATAATTTTTTTTAGAAGCGATATTGTGTAGCTACCTGAAGCATGTATATTTCTTTTAAATGAAGACAATCACACCACCTGTTTATAGAAAAATATATGGCAAATAAAATTATAAATTGCTGACATGACATGTGCAGGCTTTTGGTTCCGTTTCCATATTCTATTGTCTCTGTCAAAAATAATTTCAAGTGTTACAATAAGCAAATATTCAACAAAACTGTGCAGTCCAAAATATAGATATTTATTTCAATTCATGTATTAAAATACATGTATAAATTATATCTACTATATATATATATATATATATATATATACACACACACATACACAGATTGTTTTTCTCTATTATGTACATCAAGTACAATGTGCTTTACAATCAACTTACATTCACATACAGTACCAAATATACATATTAAATGACATATACATTCATATACAAATACATTCAACATTAGTTACTCTGTATTTTATATCACTGGTTTTGGACCACATTTAAGCATTGCTTTCAGATTGTGCCCTGTTTCATTTCCTTATTTCATTTTCTGTTCTGCTTTCAGGCAACAGACAAAAATAAGCCTCAAAGACTTTTGCTTTGGTACCACAATCTTTTCTCTCTGAAGTTGATGAAACTAAGATATGTCTGACATACATGACCATGAACAAGAACAGGTTGATGGATGAGGTATAAACAGGAAGGGATTAACAAACTAACCCTGTGGCACTCAGTACCTGCAAGAGATCAATATAGATCTCTGCTTCCTTTGTGAAAGTAAATGCAATGCAATCAGCCATTAAAACTAAAGCTACAGCATGAATAAATGACCCTGGGCTGAGTTAGCGTGTCTCCATAGTGACAGCCTGTAGTGGCATGTCTCTGAGGGAGAAGATCATGTGCACGCATGTTGGGGTCCCTGTAGACAAGTCAGATGAAATGAAGCAAAGGGCATGCCATCAGTGCCTTATTCTTATAAGGCCAATTAAGGTAATGGACTGAGGTGAACTAGAGCACCAATTATGATTTCACTCTTTGACGGAATGCTTAATGCAATCAATTAAGCAATACTGAAATTGCTACAGTTATGAAACAACATTACTCATTTATTTGTTCAAAATAAAGGATATATTTGGGTCTGTAAGGCATTTTGCAATGATCAGGCTATCAATTTTACATTGCTTGATCAAAATGTCTCTGCACAAGATATTTTTACAGTGGTCGCACTGCAGTTCTTCCCTGCAAAACAGGATGTTCATCTGTTTAGGCTGGCATTACTAATACTGTGTGGGTGTGGAAAAACTTGTGTTTATGCTGTTTTGACTGCTCACTACCCTAGAACCGTGACATCATGGTCACCCTGAGTCAACACAAGTCTCCAAGTTTTATCTCCAAACTTAAGCCTGGAGTGAGCTAAATGTATAAAAGAGTTACTGTTCTTTTAAACAGAAAGTTTTAACATATCAGATTCTCTAGAAATAAATTTGCATGAGTAGAAAATCAACATGAACTGAAATTCGAACGACCTTGCTTTTTAAAGTATGTCCTACAATTATAGTTACCGATTTATACAGCACAAAGACTGATTTGATAAAAAGTATTGCTGTACCTACTTAGTACTACTATTTACATTCTTGTCTTTGACTGCTACCTTTGGGGGGGAAAAATCCCCAACTTAAGTTAATTTAATTTTGAAAAGTTGGATGCATAAAAATATTTCAGTTACTGAAAACATAAACAATTAAGATGTAGTGACCAACATCTGTTTGTGTTCAGCAATACCATTTATAGTTGACCTTTACTCTGCATCAATATATTTGCAGCGGACACCTCTGCCAAGGCTGGTCCTCTGTGGTCGCCCAAGGCGAATTAGGCGAGGGAGGTGGTTCCAGGAGTAGGCCAGTCGGGCAGAGACCATATCGAGGGTAACGTCACTGAATTCTGCCCAAAGGTTGGCGGGTACCGTCTCCTTTACAAGTTTGGGCAGAACGACAGAGTCTGGCAGAAACCCATTAACTCCTCCGAGGAGTAAATGGCAGAGAGCCCGAGACTGTAGGCTCTCCCTCAGACTGCGAAGAAGATCATCCAGCCGGTCCACAAGGTTGCACTCGTCCCAGGATTCAGGGGGTGTACTGAGCAGCAGACGAAGCCAAGCGGTTTTCAAAGCATAGGACGAGAGCACTCCTCCCCACTCAGCTCCAGACTGCTGGTCCAGAGTCTCCCCACTGAGGTTACGAACCTCTTTAAGGAGCTGAAGGCACTTCAGGTGACAAGAGTTGGGGGGCAGTCTACCTTTTAGCCAAGCCAGCAGTCTCTGCTCCTGTCTGGGAAAATACACCGTCCAAAGGTCTTCTCCTCGCTGACCCTGCCGGGATGCTACCAAGAAGGCACCATCGCCGAGAGGAAAGGCTGGGATCAGACGAATGCCCATGGAGATGTGGCAGCAGACGTAATCGGAGCGAGGGGTCAGGCGGAGGAGCACCTGCTGCTCCTCACTGAGAGACAGGCTGAGGGAGCAACGCTGCTCAAATGGGTAACGGATGGCAGCGAGGCAGCGCTGGGTGGCTGTGTAAAACCAGCGCTGGACAGAATCTGGGCTCATCCTGTAGACCCTTTGAGCGTTGTGCAAGTGCATGAACGTGTCCACGAAGGCCTTGTGACGGCGTGTCCACTCCGCCTTGCGAGGTGTGTTTAGCGTGCAAAGCGGTGCCCCCCCAGGTTTGTCAGTGCAAACACCAGCCTCCAGTTTTAGCCCACGAGGTGCCCTCAGAGGCACGAGGATGTCAAAGCAGTCAGGTGAGCCCACCTTGTGCTCCTCATAGGAGCTGCCGATTTGGATGAAGTCACCGCGGAAGGCCAGAGAAGACTCTGGCGGGACATCGGTGCGACCTACTCTGACAAGTTCACTCACCAGCTTGGCAACATGGGCTTTGCTGTGGCCCAGCACATGTGGAGAAAGACGCACATGTCTCTCGTAGTGATCGTCCAGTAGCTCTCTCTTGGAGACTCCTGATTTTCCGTGGACCTCCGGGACTTTGTGGAAGCCCCTCCTAGCAGTGCCAGTTTGAGCTGAACAGTACTTTATGAAGAAGTAACATAAGATAAAAGCTAGGATGCACTTGAAGAGCGTGACAGCTCCAGGTCCCTGGTCAGCGCAGTCATTCCCTTGGTCCTCGGCTCCTCTGAAGATATACTGGTGCAATAGCAGCAGAGCAGTGAGGACGCAAGTGACCAGCGGCCAGAACAACCTGAGGTTGAGAGTGTAAACGCTCATCCTCCTCCTCCTTGTTCTCTTCCAGCCCACTCCAGCTTTATGGGAAAAGTTGGGGCTAGCCCATGTTGAACCACTCGCCCAGATGCTGAAAACAAGACCAAGCTGATGTTCTTTCCGTCCTCTCGAGCAAAAACTGTTGTGTAGGGGGAAGTTCACCCTGTGAAGTTTCTTTGCAGATGCGGCGTGTGCCGAGGGCAAGAGGATTCCTCTCATTCAGGATGTTTGAAAATCCCCGCTTTTGTTGCAAGTGAGCACTGTGTGAAACAGGAGAGCGGGCTCTCAGTGTGTGAGCTCAGAGGAAATGCCAAACTCTTGAGAGAGGAATTTCTGTTTGAAAAAAAGAGGCGTTCAAAACTCAGAGCCTGTCCACACTCCTCCTCCCTCTTCTCTTAAAGAAACATACCTCAAAATGGGAAGTGCTTACTGACAGAATGGACCCTTAACTTAGAGATTTAGACAGCATGATTACTTCTAAATATATACGTGGATTGAAAAACCACCCACATGATAAACATGTCAAATGTTAATAGTAAACGGTGCAATACTTAAAGGACAGTTCATTCAAAAATTCACCTTCATGTGGTTCCAAATCTGAATGAGTTCCTTTTTTCTGTGGAACACAAAAGGAAATTGTTTTACAGTAATAGTATCACACAACTCCTTTAGGAAAATGCTAGGAATAAATGCTAGAAAATGATGTCAGCAGGGGTGTGGCCCCTATAAACACAGAAGATCACTGTGAAAGATTACAGAAACACTGTACACACACACACAATGTATTTCACACAGCTCTCTGTGAAGGGAGTGTCACAGTAAGACATTTGTATCTTTGTTGATCCGTTAATGACCCCTAACCTCAGCGTAAGCCCTCCCCCGGTCACCCCTGACACCGTGATGCTGAACAAGTAAGCATTGTCATCGCTCTTATTCAGTCCACAAAGTGTTTTTATACTGCTGTAAGGACATAAGCCTTTTAATATTATCTTGCTTTATGGACATAAGGTTTTAGAATGGCTTATTCAAAGCTTAGTCAAATACAATTCACTGCCCTAATCACACTATCCCAAATGCATAAAGTCCTGTGTACTGTGTACAGAATTTGAATTTAAGCAAACAGACAGACAGTATACGTACTTCATATCAGACACACTGAGGTGGCCACAAACAGAAAACCACACCTTTTCTGCCATGCACGGTCCTACCAAGATCTTCTGATTTTTTTTAAAAACAAACACTGCCCATGGCCATGGAAGTAATGCATCAAGTAAGGACACTCATAGATGCAGAACATAGCGGCACCTGGCTAAGTCACACAAACCTGTATGACCCGTCAGAGGATAAGCACAGAGACAGCTCGCTAAACATGGCTGACAGAACAGTTTAGATAACAACATAACTAGTCTGTTGGGACTAAGCAGATGACTGAGGAAGGAAGTGATGTTCATGACAGGGAACTTAAAAAGGCAACAGACAGGAGGCAATTACTGCTGCCTTTCTGCCATGTACCTTCTTATCAAACCCCTAGTTCTATTTTGTTCGGTGTGGCCACCTCTAAAAATATCTAGCTGTCTGAAGGGTATCAGCAACTACAAAACAGCAGATAAATGCACTGATTATATGCTTTTACCATTGAGTTGAATGCAGCTCTCTGCCTTTTAAAAGAATGCCTTGTGGTTAGCATTGGTGTCCTGAGGGAAACGAGCTCTGAGAAAAAGATTTACACAATTACATGATTCATAACACTACGTCTGTGCATAAGCTTTTGAGCACAAGACATACACTGTCAAAACTTGTTTGTAGTGAGCTATGCTAAGTTTATAACTCTTAATTTCTTAAACACTGGCAAATGGTTTACAATGAAATATCCAGAGATATTTCGTGTGTATCTTACCCATTTAAGTCTATGTAGAGCTTTAGCTCTTGGAAAACAGTATGCTATAAGGACATGTGATCTGTTCACGATGAGCAACTCGTGCAGTGTTTCCAGATGGGTCAGCTTCCTCTGACACATCACGAGAACAAAAGTTTGTATGGCAGCTTCTGCACCACATTAAGCCATTAAGCAATGCAAATATATGGGGGGATATGTTTAGAAATAAAAACCTTTAAAAGTAGGAGAGAAAGGCAGTAGGGGCGAGAGGCAGCCTGTGGCTAGTGGGCAGTTGAAAACCTCACAAAATGTGGTCACGGTTGATGGTACACTGAAAGCTGAGGAATATTTGTAGTTACACTGGGATTGCATCAGCCTCCTTCTCTCTGAATGCGAGCATACAGTAGCTCTGCCCCCTAACAGAACCTGCCAAACTAAACAGGCCTCTCAAGAACTTTTATCCAGTACAGTCAACATAGAAGACTCTAGACAAAGTGAAGGAAGGGGCCTGGAGCATAATTTGTGCATTTCTAATGGCCTGCTCTCTTCTTATCAAATCAAATTCACCAATTGGCAACATACTGTAAAAACCCTCAAGACACTAGAACTGAAAGCCAGGGTCTCACACTCTCTGTGGACTGTCCAGGATGACTTCATGCCCTCATAGATTAAGTCATGGGAAGCACAGGGAGATGGTTACAGCTGTTTCCCACGTCTCTACTACACAGATTATGCTACATGTTTTCATAGCCACCCGTGGTAACTTCCCCTAATACTCAATGCAAATGTGTCAGACAGTATATGCGTATACTAAGATAACAAATGAGCATGTTTATAGCAAATTATATAATATGTGTGTGGTCTCCAAAAATGACCAAAAATAATTTCAACAGTTGAGTCCAGATCGCCCTGTTGTGTTGGTGGCTGCACATTACCTTTTACCTAACAGGCAAAGACTGCCCTCTTGTGTTCAAAGTTGTCTTAGCAAACACACATCCTGTAAAGACACATGACTTTAATAGTAACAACTCTGATTGATAAAACGTTACAGTCTATTATTCTTGAATATACCTTACAGAATGAGACCAACACTTTGGCCATGTATAAAATCGCAATAAATAGATTTTAAATATATTTATACTGCTGTGAGAAACACGTCATTACAGATGAAATATGTAATTTCTACAACAGTAGTGCCACTACATTGAAACCATAAAAAATATATATTTTTAACACAGGCTTTATAAATATTCCTCCTACTGGTCACACAAAGAAAACGTCCCAGCCTAAACGTTGGCTGAGTCTATATTACTGTGTTGGGCAGGATGGGATGCTCAAACAAACAGAGCAATGTTTTGGTATTCGGGTAACTTTTAAATACTCTGAAAATATTTAGAGACGCTCTGAGACACAGATTGCAGCTTTGCAGCCCGCCTGTATGATTGCTTTCATCAGCTGATATCCAGGCACCTGCAATAAAGATGCATCATGTGTCAGAAAAACATAAAATGGCAGAGCAAAAACATCTCTGTGGCTCTTGAAAAACAAGTATTTAAATGATTACTGTTATTGAGGATTTGGATCTTAATATTGTAGTTCATGCAAGACATTCTGTCATGGCAATAATTCAGACTTACGGATTCAGCATCATGCTCCAGTCCAGTGTCATGGTGCTCCATTTCATCGTCCCGAAATTCTTTAATCAGCTGACAAAATTTTTTTTTGTGAATAACATTCATAATATTAACATGAATTACATAATCTGCATGAGTGAAAAGAAGAACTTGCAATATTTTAGCGATATTAAAGAAGTTTAAATTTTAAATTCAAGTTTAAATCCTCTAATACATAAGATCTCATAATAATTCTACAGTTTCTTTGTGTGTGAAGTTTGAAGTCCGCCATTTAAGGCTTGTACACACCTGCAGCAGTTCGGTGTACTTCTCAGGATCTTTCTCCATTAGAGTTCTGATCTGACTGTTGTAGTGCTCTGAGATACTCTCCTCTACAGCCACAGTGCAGGCCATCGCCCCTTCCTTTCCCAAGAGAGCAGAGCCAGCACCTGTCCAAAAAACAGACGTTTCACACACCAGACGTGTAAATTTCAGATATGCTATATTTTATTTTAAATTCAATAAAGACTCTTTTTAGTTACAAATAACCCGAGTAGACACTGGAGTTTCACATCGTTTGACCAATGATTTTCCATGACTTTTCCAGTTGTCTGTGATTTTTATTCACGGAATGAAGAAGAATTTTTAAAAATCAATGCATAGAGACTCCACCTAAAGAAGCAATTTCAGTTAAGCATTTTGTTAAAGGAATAGTAAAGGAATAGAAATCTATTTTGATAAATTTAGCATTATATCACTTGCTCACTAATGCATCCTTTGCAGTGAATGGGTGCCGTAAGAATGAGAGTCCAAAAAGCTAATAAAAGCATCACAATAATTCACAAGAAATCCACACGACTCCACTGCAGTGCTGCATGTTTGTGGGAAACCAATCCATCATTAAGATATTTTGTTTGGACAAGCGAGCAAGTGATTTAATGCTAAATTTCTTAAAATCTGTTCAGATGAAGAAACAAACACATCTTGGATGGCCTCAGGGTGAGTACATTTTGTTTTGGGTGAACTACTCCTTTAATTTCTATAACTTTTCCATGCTTTAAAATTAATATTTTTCTACCCTAATATTTACAGGTTTTCTATAACAAGGGGAACTTTATACAGCCCATATGTTTTTTTCTGCATTCTTGAGAAACATTATATATATATTAGGGCTGTCAGTCGATTAAAATGTTTAATCTAATTAATTACATTTGTCGATTAATTAATCTAATTAATCTCAAATTACATTTGGCAGTGAAAATACCCCCAAAAGATTATTTAATGCTATTTTTGTGTTAAATGAGAAAAAATTAAGTAGACATTATAGATTGTAGCTTTAGAAAGGAATATTTTATTTATTCAACATAAACTATGAAACATAAAAGAAGATAATTTGAGTAACATCTGTTTTAGTTTCGTTCATGCAGTGGAAGTCATTGGTAACCAAAACAGCTTTGTTACCAACAGTCTTCAAAATACCTTCTTTTATTCTCCACAAAATTAAAGTAAGTCATTCAGGTTTGAGTAAATGATGGCATTATTAAAGTTTTTTTGGGGTGAACTATTCCTTTAAAGGGGTCATATGATGCTGCTAAAAAGAACATTCTTTTGTGTATTTGGTGTAATGAAATGTGTTTATGCGGTTTAAGGTTAAAAAAACACATTCTTTTCCACATACTGTACATTATTGTTTCTCCTCTATGCCCCGCCTTTCTGAAACGTGTTGATTTTTACAAAGCTCATCGGTCTGAAAAAGCGAGGTGTGCTCTGATTGGCCAGCTATCCAGTGCGTTGTGATTGGCTGAATACCTCAAGCGTGCGACAGAAATGTTACGCCCCTCAAAATATTGTGATGCCTGCGGCAACCACATGTGACGACTCCGGGCTGGACTCCGCTTCGTCCACGGTGAAAGCCGATCCGGCGATCCACAGCGCGAAGTTGCAAAAATAAAGAATAATCGGTTATCGGTATCGGCCAAAATTTTCATATCGGTGCATCCCTAAACTTTACTGATCTTCTTTATGCACCAAGAGCTTGTAACACTCCAAAGAGAAAGGAAAAATTGAAATCGCATCATATGACCCCTTTAAAGATTTTTTTCCCTATCTTTTCTTTTTTTAATGAAATAATACTCTAAATAAGAAACTAAAACTGCCAGCAGGTGGCGGTAAATGCCTTTATGAGTCTTTCATTCGATTCGTTCAAACGGCTGATTCATTCAGGAATGAGGTAAACGGCTCTCTCTACGAATGGGTCTTTGAATAATTGATTCACGCGATTCGTTCAAAACGCGGATTCATTCAGAAACTAAACACTGCTGTGTTGCTCGGAGACGCACAACAATTCTGCTGTGGCTTTTTTAAGTAATATTTTTGTTGGCAAAACGGAGCAAAAACAGACAATATTGTGTTTAAAAAAGAACACAATATTAACTTATTATTTACTGAACCGTTGTGTAAAATCACATTTGCTCTCGTGGTATCCGGACACATTTGCTCTCGTGTAATATTGCTCTTGCTGCTTGTGTGATATCGCTTATCATGATATAAATAGGAGACAAAAACTCATACAGGAGCATTTTTGCCCCAATATCTTGAATTTTAGGCCATAATTGCATTTATGAAGTTATTGCCCTGCATCATAATTGTCAACTGTATGAAATGTAAGATGACGTACAGATCTGGGGGCGGGGACAGTGTGTTAACTGCATTAAAATATTTTAATCACGTTATTTTTCATAACTAAACTGACAGCCCTAATATATATATTTGCATATATATATGCAAAAGTCTCTAAGTGCCGTCTGAAATTTTCATGCAAAATTAGCATTTTTATCAGGCTCCTATGTTTAGATTCAGTAATTTTACACTAAAGGTCCTTTTCTATGCAATTAAAGTGAAATAACTGAACAACTGAACACACACACACACACACACACACACACACATATATATACTGTATATATATATAAATACTGTAAAGGTCACACTTACCAAGAGCAAATCCTGCTATGTTCCACAGCGGAAGCAAGAGGGTCGGACGCACTCTGTTCTCAGCCAGTATCTCATTAAACTTTCTCAGGTGCTGCTTCTCTTGATCCCACATTTCCTTAATTGATATATCATCACATTGAATGCCTAGTTCCATATTACATCAGACCTCACTGAACACTGTTCTTTCTAAACAAACTTATATAACAACCCTCCCAAATGTGATATAGGGAAATGGTAATCTTTGTGTAATAATTGCCAGTTTTGGTTTATGGAGTGATACCTGAATGAGTGGACTGATTTGTGTATGGCCAAGAACAGCCATCTGACCAGCATAGATTCGGTTGGCACCATATTCTCCTGCATGGTCCACTCTCATCATCCTGTGAAGCATGGCTTTTTCTTCTTCATCATTGGTGGGAGGCAATACAACATATCCCCTTATACAGGACACAACAGCTGAAAGTCACACAAACAAGCAATGGTAAGCGAGTAACTTGCCACAGAAAGAACATTCTTGGTGTGTTCACACAAACACACATGCAGTTTGTTTTAATATACAGAAGCTCTGAGCACTTAAATATATTATATATACAAGAAATGACATTATAAAAATAAATATCTACCATAATAAACATCACACATTTGCCAAATATCGCACAATTTGGCAAACATAAATATAACATACATTGTAAACATGCAAGTTCATTTGGTCTGCATTTCAAGTAGAAATTCTGAAAACTACGAGTTTGTGGGTGTAATTTCTATACAAAGAAATGTAATGTAATGTGTAACGTTAGTCATAAGGGCAGTTATGAAACTGTCTCGGTAACACTTACATTTGTGATTTGTACAAAGTTGACCCGCTGTCGGTAATAATGGCTGTTTAGAATCACGAAGCAAAAGCTGAGGTCTGACAAACCTGTGCATGTTTGCAATTGTTTTTGATAACGGAAAAATCGATAAATGTCACTGAAAGGATCTAGGTGGGCGGCATCGCACGCATAACGTTTACTAAACACTGTAGACGGCGCTTGAATATTGCGTCAATGACTGGTGTTATGATAAACTTTACCTTCGCGCTTAGGTAAGACATTTATTTCGCAAATGTCTCACCAAATGTAAAATAAAACTGAGCTGATATATGAAATAAATATATGGAATTTATTGTATATTATAAAATATATATTGAATAAATAACAATTTAGGCAATCGTTTTAACACGTGACTTGTTTTGTACTATAACAAGTCACGTGTTAAAACGATTGAATAAATAAGTAATTCAATATGCCGAATAATACAGGTACATGCCAATTATTTAGTTCCTTGTGGGGTTGTAGCTGACTCCTGTGTACGTGCCCAAACTTTGTTGGTAGTCTAAATGCTTAACCAACAAGTAGCCTAATGCTATAATTTTTTGTTGTTGTTGTTAAAGCTACTAATCTTTTAATAATAGTATAGAGAATGAGGAGTCACAGATTTACTATTCTGTTGGTGAAAACAAGATGTGTATTACGGTGACGCATTGCTGCCGCACACATATTATAAGATGTTTTCTCGTTAAAACGACATCTTTTCTCGTTAAAACGACCGAAATACGAAAAAAGAAATAAAAGAGATTTTCTTTGAAAAGATGTCGTTATTACGAGAAAAGCTGTTGTTTTAACGAGAAAAGATGTCGTTATTACGAGAAAAGCTGTTGTTTTAACGAGAAAAGATGTCGTTATTACTTGAAAAGATGTCGTTATTACGAGAAAAGCTGTTGTTTTAACGAGAAAAGATGTCGTTATTACGAGAAAAGATGGCGTTGAAAAGATGTCGTTTTAACGAGAAAAGCTGTCGTTTTAACGAGAAAAGCTGTCGTTTTAACGAGAAAAGCTGTCGTTTTAACGAGAAAAGCTGTCGTTTTAACGAGAAAAGCTGTCGTTTTAACGAGAAAAGCTGTCGTTTTAACGAGAAAAGCTGTCGTTTTAACGAGAAAAGCTGTCGTTTTAACGAGAAAAGCTGTCGTTTTAACGAGAAAAGCTGTCGTTTTAACGAGAAAAGCTGTCGTTTTAACGAGAAAAGCTGTCGTTTTAACGAGAAAAGCTGTCGTTTTAACGAGAAAAGCTGTCGTTTTAACGAGAAAAGCTGTCGTTTTAACGAGAAAAGCTGTCGTTTTAACGAGAAAAGCTGTCGTTTTAACGAGAAAAGCTGTCGTTTTAACGAGAAAAGCTGTCGTTTTAACGAGAAAAGCTGTCGTTTTAACGAGAAAAGCTGTCGTTTTAACGAGAAAAGCTGTCGTTTTAACGAGAAAAGCTGTCGTTTTAACGAGAAAAGCTGTCGTTTTAACGAGAAAAGCTGTCGTTTTAACGAGAAAACATCTCGTTATTACGACATAATTGAGTGGAAAAAATAATATGTGTGCGGCAGCAATGCGTCACCGTAGTGTATGAAGCAATGGAACAGATAATTTATTTTGCTGTATTGTACAGCGCATGTATATCTGGAACATGGTAGATGGTACTCTGCTGGATTTGTTGATATTCTTGTTTGTGTAGGAGATGCTGTCATTCTGGACACAACCGAGTGGGCGTCTGCTGGTGGGGGTTGACACAGCACCTACAGCGCGTCTGAATGCTGCCATCGCTGAGATCAGAGAACAGTATGGAGGCCTGCTGCCCAAGAACCACTGAAAAACTGAAGCACAGTTCAAATATGCGGTTAAAATTTTTTAAAGCAAACACAAGTACACACACACATTGACTCGCTTCTGTCTTTTTCTCTTTTACTCTTCCCTTTTGTGAGCAAAAGATAGTTGAATGTTAAACTGAAAGCTTTCCTGTCCATTTTATTTAGATGAAATTAATTGTATTTATTTTTATCTTATACATGGCTCTTAACAGCTCATAGCATATTGCATGAGTCACTTTACCTCATCCCTCCACACAGTGGCACTCTCACACAGCAAATCTTCTTATTCTGCTGACTCCACGAAGGAGCATAGGGCCTCTAGCAAATAGCAGCAGTAAACGCCATTGAATTGTGATTTACCAATATTGATCTATTTTCAGACTCAAAATGAAATGCATTTTTCTTGTGCAACCGGCCTTGTGGAAGTTTCTGCTAAAAAAATGTTGAATGGTTTAACCATTTTTGAGTTTAGATTCCCAGGGAATGTAATAAAATGTGTATTTTGAATGCAGTGTCGAGGCCTGTTCATAGGAAGATGACTATGACTATAAAGTTTTAATAATCATTCTCATTATGTGAGAACGGGGAAGTCCAAACCTCAGCTGTAATGACAAAGGCACAGAGGAATGATATCAATGGAATCCCTTTCGGAACTATTTTTTCCAATGGATGAACAACAAAAGCATTGACCGCCAATCTGAATTTATTCACCTTTTAATAGGGTGACCATACGTGCTATTTTCCCAGGACGCGTCCTGGCCAGGATTTCTATATTGCCTAAAATATCTTGGTTTTGGCTTTGTTTGCGTGTGCAGACAGATCGGTGTATGACATCAAAATACCATACAGACAGTTCCTTATGCTTTCAAAATGCTCTCAAGGTATTTTGATGTCATACACCGATCGGTCTGCACACGCAAACAAAGCCAAAACCTAGATATTTTAGGCAATATAGAAATCCTGGCCAGGACGCGTCCTGGGAAAATGGCACGTATGGTCACCCTACCTTTTAAGAGCTTGAGCATTTAAGCGTCAGATTACATAACAATTAACATCTCACTGATATCGAGTAAGGTGACTTCTTGGACTTCTCACTGTGATCCAGAGTTGGGGTACTCAATGTCGGACTCTGAATCAAGTCCGGACTTGAGTCCCATTAACCCTTCGCTGGGCATTTGATTGACAGGCGATCTGACCAATCATAACTCAGAATCTGCCATTTTCTCCAACAAGCAAACCAGACAGGAGAGGAGATTAACTTTGGTGGACTTGAGCTTGAAAAGTGGTGTGCATTGATGTCTTTCCACGGTTAAAACAAGATAGCTTCTGATGTTCGTTCAGGTTTATTTTGTGCTATTACTAGTAAAGAGGAAGACATGATGGGTCCTAATGCCGCTTGAACTGAGGTGCTACAGTGATCTGAAACGACACATTGAAGAGCCACAAAATGGATTTTATTGTTTGAATTTCTTAGAAAATTACAATTTGAAAGCTGAGACATTGTTTCATACCAAAAGTTACCTGCTCTGTCTTGTCTGTCGGTGTGTTGTCAGTTTTCTCTTTGCTCCGCAATGTATTTTTCACTGCATGAGAACATGATGTGTGGTGTGAGAGTGCATGGCTTGTCGGACTCAGCAACAGTAACTAAGGAGGGCGGGTGTTTGCAAAGGGTCAGTTATGAATGAACTTATACTTGTCATGCTTTCTGGTAAATTTGTACTCAAACTTGACATGGACTCTTGACATTTCGGACTAAATCATTCTGAGTACAGTCAAGTCCAGGTTATGTATAACATGAAAGATGTAATATTTAACAACATAAATTTAAGATAAGACATTAGTAAACTTCTCCAACTCCAACTCGATTGGTTAAAGACTTGGACTCGACTTTGACACAACAAAATGGACTAAGACACTACTATGATCTTGAATTCACATCACTGCACCTTCTGCAGTTGAATCAGTTCATTACTGATCTTGTGCACTGATCTGAAAAGTGAAAACCCTCAAATTAGCTCTAACTCTTGCACTTCCCACATTTTAGGACAACCTTTGCCCAATTCCCTCCTCAGATGGTTTACTTTATGTGTGTCCTTTCACAAATGACCACTTCTCCTTGTGAGAGCTCTAGTGACCAAACAGCTTGTCCTCCAAATGGAAATCAAAAATAGAAATGGGAAACAATTTTGGTTCCCAGAGCAGACAGAAAAATAGTCACAAACAAAATTTCACACCTTTAAGAGCCCTCCAAAAATATATACTGTAATATAATGGAATATTTCCAATTCATGTGTTGCTTGTTTTTGTCCGTATTTTCTGAAAATTTATTTTTGAATGCCCGTCAATGGAAAAAAGAAAGAAAGATGCTTTTTGGCATCTATTTACTGGCGTAATGACATCTACCAGCAGAGACTCGTTTGAAGATAACCAGCCTAAGAGCCCTCCAAAAATATATACTGTAATATAATGGAATATTTCCAATTCATGTGTTGCTTGTTTTTGTCCGTATTTTCTGAAAATTTATTTTTGAATGCCCGTCAATGGAAAAAAGAAAGAAAGATGCTTTTTGGCATCTATTTACTATCGTAATGACATCTACCAGCAGAGACTCGTTTGAAGATAACCAGCCAAAACTTGACTCCTTGTCTCAAACAAACAGCAATGTTTGCACAGAACAGTAGCGTTTAGACTTTTTGGGAAAAAGTGTGAACTCTGTGAACTTTGATCTAGCTCAGTTTAAATATGCTAAAACATATTTTAAGATTGCACACCTTTAAGTACAGGTGCAAATTTATTTGGCATGTGTGTCAATATTAATTGCCATTTCCCAGTGGCGTGCACAGACATGCATACACACGCTCAAATGCACAAATACACAACAGCGTAAGCAAAATGGGGAATATTTCCCTCGCAGTGCAAAATAAATACACCAGGGAAAGAAAAGAATACTGCTTCAAGCTCAAGTATGAGGGAAATCCACACACCTAACTTAAGATACCCACTGTAGCATCAGAAAAGCACTTGCCATCTGTTTACAGCAGTTCTCCACCATCCTATTACATTGTGCAATAATGCTCCAGGGATATCTGTTAAAAAACTGACGTTTAGCCTGTATTATGTATGGCTTTCCATGCAAATGTCACAGCACATAGAGAAATAAACCTTTGGTCATTGCTCTTATTTGGTGATAGTGGGGCTGTAGTATTAAGAATGGATTGAGAAGCAATTTACTCCATTGAATTAAGGTTTTAGAACAGACTTGTTTTTATTTTTGATGTTGGTAATAGTGCTGCAGTCTTCTGAGGTGTGCTCTCTACAAATTTTGCTCTTTGACCTTGATGACTGGTTTGTTAAATCAATTGTTAAATTGTTAAGTTTAAGTGTGTTAAATCGATATCGGTTCTGTCCGGATTTGGGCAAGTAGTAATAGTTGCTTGTAAAACCTTTAATTTTCCAATTACAGTTCCATTTCTTAATGATAAATTAGCATTGATGTTTCTGATTGGGAACTGTGAGTATTGAGTAAGCTGGAGAGACATTATTCAGTGCCTACTGAAGGAGTTATTCAGGACAAGAGGAGTTTAAAGATGTAAAATGTGCTCTGCCAGTTCTTTGATGCTGTGATTCATTCTTTATATCTTCGTCTCTGTCTTTCGGTTCCCATGGTTCAGCTGCCCTCTTTAGGCATTAGGAATTTCCAAATACATATTGCAAAATATTTACACAGGACCATTTCCAGCTTACGGCAAACAACCTCGGTTCTCATTCGAGATTTTGAATACACCAATACATACAGCACCAAGCCTTCAAGGCTCAGTAAAAAGGCAGAGGAATTACTACGAAATTGCAGATACATATTTATTTGAAAATACCTCAGCAGTGGCAGTCAGTACAGATAGTATTTATTGTTCACAGGGATCTCTGCCCTGATGAGGGAGCAAAAGAATCACCAAGAAGATGGTTCGACTGAATAACAACACAATGGCTGCCTGATATGATAGTGGATTTAGCCTGCAGGAAGCATAAGCAGACGGTAAACACACATCTGAGGCGTTCTTCTGACAGAAAAAGCAAACAGTTTAAAGTGTGGGATATTACAGAGGTATTAGATCCAGTTTAAACACTCTCAGATCATTTTACAGAGTTCAAATTACCCTAAAGAGCTGGCAAGGAAGCTAAAAAAGAAATGGTGCTAGATTCATTACACTGGTAAATGTGTAAGCAAACATTTTTGATACAGGTGATAACATATAAGGGCATGTAAAAAAAGTTACTATATTATTTTGATTTGGTAAAATGGCAGACTGGTTTATATGTTTAGCAAACCTGCTGACTCAAAGGAGCCAGCAGCTTGTCCCACACCTCCAGTTTTATGATAGCCCTGCCTAAAGGACACATGGTGGCCCTTACGTCCAGAGATTTTCCCTCAAAGTTAATGCCTGACCCATTGGCCTCCTCCCTCACAAAGCCCTGTGGGTTCTTTTGATAGTACATTTCTTTATAAAGGGCCTGGTCACACTCCTTTCCTTTCGGGTAGATGCCTAGTGCAAACCAATTCTTATACAGATTGTAGTCCCAGGGGACAGAAAACATGACGGCCAGGGTCTCAATGTAGTCATTTCTGCTTCGCTCGAACAGGTCGTAGGTCATAACCCCTACGCTGCCGGTGGCCTGAGCACTGGTCTTGCTGAAGGTGCAGACTTCGGTCTTGAGGGGGCGCACTGTCGGCTGAGGTGGATTGGAGGTTTCACCACTCTCAAGATAGATCCTGTGGGATTTATATGCATGAATCATACACAAGCATGCACACATTTATTGCTACACAAAATGCACATTTTAGTTCACCACCCCAAATTCAAATTCTGTAATCGTTTTTTCACCATAATGTTGTTCCACACGTATGCCTTCTTTCTTCATTGGAACACTAATGATATTTTAAAGAATTGTTATTTTTGCCCATACAATTAAATGAAAGTACAGTAAATGGGGTCCAAAATAACATTTCATGCAAAAAAAAAAAAACATTTCCTTAGAAGAAGGTAAGTCATACAGGTTTGGAAAGACATGAGGGTGAATAAATGATAACAGAATTTCCATCTTAATACATTTTATACTTCTTTCCTTAAATGGATACATACATGTTACAGATATAGAAGTTTAGATACAAAGTTTTAGTTTTGAACGCTTGGTTTAACATTAGTTTTGCTTCTGGTTGTAGTCTCACTTTGGGTTGAGGAGGCAGTAGTTGTTCGTCAGGTTGGTGATCTCTATGGTGGCGTGTCTCTTGCTGCTCACGTTGGCAGCGGCAGCCTCAGCAGACTCAGTCATGATGGTTCACGATAGATCTGATTGACGGCTGAAACGGAGAGAAGTAGAGAGGAGAGGGATGGTGTGAGAAAAGAAGTCTGTACCTCAAAGTAAAAAGCAGTGGAAATGCAGTTTTGTTTACACTGCAGGGCAGCAGCGAAAATACAATAACTTTTCTGTGATAAAACGTTTGCTGTCATAAGTTAATCGTCCTCTATTTAAACTGCTGTGCTGAATCAGTGTTAAATTCAGGTCTTATTACTGAAAAAGATTCTGTACTGTCTGGTCTGTGCATACACTTAAATATAAAACATAGAAGCATTAGATTAAGTTCACATAGCTCTTCGCAAGTTCACTTCTGCCCCTCTTTTATTACCATTGTCAATGTTAACTAGTGAATAAACAGGGTCACAGTAATTACACGCAGAGACCCCACTTCAAAAACCATTGTGCATCTAGCAATCTTCAATTTTATAATGCACTGCTTTTAAAAGAAGCAAAGAGTGTGAAATAGAGTTGCTCAAGTGTCCATAACTGAATAAACTATCTTGCTATGTTATAATTTTAATATGGAAATAAAAATATACATTAGCATTTAGTTTTGATTATTAAGTAGGAGAATGAAGTCTTACCGCTGTGGTACTCCGGAGTGTGTGTGTTGCTCAGTAACAGTGCGTTCTGAAAGAGACACTGCGTTTTTACTTTGTCCCTTTCCAAGTCTTCATGATCAGCAACAAGAACAGTACATACCCACCTGCAAAAGCATGCTTACTCAAATTTAGTGTACACCCTCTTTACACAAACATGGAGACACACTCTCACACACATAACAGCTCAAGAGGCATCAGTGACATTGGTGGGAAAATGCTTGGAACAGTTCCACACCCAAAACTGGTGCACTGCTTTTAAAAGAAGCAAAGAGTGTGAAATAGAGTTGCTCAAGTGTCCATAACTGAATAAACTATCTTGCTATGTTATAATTTTAATATGGAAATAAAAGTATACATTAGCATTTAGTTTTGATTATTAAGTAGGAGAATGAAGTCTTACCGCTGTGGTACTCCGGAGTGTGTGTGTTGCTCAGTAACAGTGCGTTCTGAAAGAGTCACTGCGTTTTTACTTTGTCCCTTTCCAAGTCTTCATGATCAGCAACAAGAACAGTACATACCCACCTGCAAAAGCATGCTTACTCAAATTTAGTGTACACCCTCTTTACACAAACATGGAGACACACTCTCACACACATAACAGCTCAAGAGGCATCAGTGACATTGGTGGGAAAATGCTTGGAACAGTTCCACACCCAAAACTGGTTGTTATAGATTTGTTAGACCAGAACAGTGAAGTTGCATGTACAGATCTGTCTCGGAAATTACTAAATTTTTAAGGGGTTATGCAAGCTCAGATTCAAACAAGTAGGTATGGCAACATTTACAGGAATACGTTTTAGGTGCGGTTTCCTGATAATTAGTAATAATTAGTCTTTGTAGTGTTTAGTACACTAACAATAGTATTTTGAAACAGTTTGGATGGGAATGTTTGTTCTGTTATGTGTTTTGAATAATGACAGAATGAGCCTAGAAATATGCTCACTTCCTTTCATATTTTATTTTAGATATTTTTATGGGCTTTTTTTTTTTGCATTTTTTATAGATAGGACAATAGAGACGAGACGACAGGAAAGCACTCGAGATGGGAATCGAACTCGGGTCACCGTGAGCGCAGTTACGCTGTATGTCGATGCACTAACCAGGCTATTGGTGCCGACTTCATTTCATAATTTTAAAAAGAATACTTTTTTTGTGCCACAGAATGTAGTTTTAAGAGTTTTTAGGTGAGAATGTACTTGTTTAGATTTCAAATATGTGGTTTGTTAATAAAGATAACGTCTGTTTGAAAATCACAGCCATGCCAATATACAGCCATGTTGCACATCTACTCATGTGATATTGCTCATATAAGTTAACATTTGTTCATGGTTCATGATTTAAAATTGCTTAATATTACATTTCATTTGATGTTTATTATAAGAAATGTATGTGAAAAGCAAAGGGCAGCTTGTAGAGCATGATGCTACAGCAATAACATGTTTATGGACTTGATTCCCCGGGAGTGCATAAATGTATGTATACTTTATTAAATATATTTATGAATTGATGTATACTAATGTATATTTTATGAGTGCAACAAGTTTCTTTAAATAGAAGCGTCAGCCAAAATATCACCTCACTGTGTATATATATATATATATATATATTTATATGTATTTATATATATATATATATATATATATATATATATATATGTATATGTATGTATTTATGTATATGTAGTGCAGACACAGAACCAAACATAAGTATTCAAAACAGTCTTTTTATTTAGACACATTTTGAGATTTACAATCAGAAAACTGGGCAGCATGAATGCAGGTATTAATACAGACATCAAAAAGTTGCATCAACATTTGAAAGCACAATGGCCTGTGCATTATGACATTTAATATGCGTATGATGTTTAAGATTATAAAAAGTATATGGAAAAAGTATTTTATTCATATGTGTTACTGTCAGACAAAATGTGTTTATTGTTTAGCCCATCTTGTCATAGACCTCTAGCTTAATAATAGCCTTGCCCACAGTAGACATGGTGGCCCTTAAATCTATTTTCTTTCCTTTGTGGATGATTCCAGTTCCCCCCGCATCTGCACGGGTGAACTGGCTGAAGTCCTTCCCCTCATACATGTGCTTGTACAGGGCCTTGTCACATCCACGGCTGCTCTCAAACAACCCGATGCCCATCACATTCTTGTAGAGGTGGTAGTCGAAGGGGATAGAGAACAGAACGGCCATACGCTCAGTGCACATACGGTTCTGCATGTGGAAGAGGTCATAGGTCAAGATGCCCACAGCTCCGGTGGCAGTGTTGTCATCCTTAGTGAATGAGCAAACCTCGGTCTTGGTGGTGCGGATGGTGGGTTGAGGTGGATGGTAACTGAACCCACTGGACATGTACACTCTGAGAGAAGATTATAGTTGACATTGGTCAATAATATTTTAAAGATATGTACAACTACAATAAATAACATTGAGTAAATAAAAGGAATTTGCCCAAAAATTATGTGATCAGCAAGTCATAGTAATGTTTTTTCATTACTTTAACTCATCAAAATAATTTAAAGCTGCAGTATGTAACTTTTTTTTTGGTTAAAAATGATCTGAAATCAATATTTGAGCAAGTACATAACCAGCCAGTGTTCAAAACTATCGCCTTACTTTAGCCCGATTCACAAAAGTCAGCTTATAATAATGTTTTCTAATTTGAGTGGTACGGGAAGGTTTTCGTGGGAAATTTGAGCATGGCACTGCGTCATTACGTCACGTCTGTAAACATAAAGAAGTTGTCCCGGCTATTAGGCTATCGCATGTGAGGATCCTGCAGGTGGCTGATCGTTTATAGCCTTTTCTCACAGCAGCCAGAATAATTAAATGTATCATTTTGATGGTGGATTGTAATCCATAAAGGATTATGTGTTTATGAAACACATGTGAATGAAATTAAATTATATTGCCGTTTTAAATGTGCTTCTGATTACAGATAGCCTGGGATTACCCAAGATGTGTATTTTAAAGAAAACCAGTTCGAAGGGAGCATAATTTGCTTTTTGGGTTAAAATAATTTCTTAATATGAAATTCGAATGGTATGACAATTAGAGTTTAGACTGTAGTACAGAAACTGAAATCTACTCGCTAATACACACTATACTCATAGTCACGCAATGTTGATGTTGTTAACATTAATAAATTGAGAATAAAGTATAACAATAATAATTTGAACGGTTTGATGTGATATGAGCTAACCGATCTTTAGATTAAATCACCATATAGCGTTATTTATTGTAATGCTTTTTTCCTCAGTTGGTCAGAACAAACATTGCAGACTTGTTCAGATGACAATATACGGTGAAAATACATATTTGGGTCATATTCCAAGACATAGGCGAGAATCTGTGATTCCTAAGTAACGTTATAGTAGCCACACCGATGCGGTGACTGACTGCCATACATGCTCTTCAAAACATTAGATTCATCCTCGCTGGAGCAGTGCCGACTCACAACCCACGTGAGCTAGATAATTCCGCAAACAGCTGGAATTCCAGGTTTTCAAACAGAGATGGCAACAAAGAGGCAAAACTTACGGACTGCAGCTTTAACCAATTTCAACTTCATTTTTACATGTTATACATGTTAAGTAGTTTTTTACAGTGTACAATTTACCAAAATATAACTCTTAAAGTCACTACTCTTAATTTTTAACAGCATTTTTAAAGAGTTTTATCACTCACTAAACAGATTTTGCCAGTAACTTCATTTAAATAATTGTAAATGTAATTTTCTCCTTACTTTGGATTGATAAGGCAGTAAGTGCTGCTAACATTGGTGATCTCCACTGTACAGTTCCTATTAGTGTTTATAGTTGCTGACACGGCTTCTGCGTTCTGCATGTTGGCACTGCTTCTGTGGGGGTCATGAAAGAGGAAAAATTATTTTGAAAAGGAAATTGCTTTCAGCAAAGTACTAAAGGGACAGTGCATGTAAAAAATATGTATATATATGCTTTTTTTCCCCTATACAATGAAAGTGGATGAAGACCAGCTGTCGTCACTGTTCACTTACATTGTATTTAAAAATGCAACTTGGATATTCTGCTACATAATTATTCTTTTAAAGCAAATGGATTGTATAGCAAACCCAGCATTCTAATCAAATACATTTGATTGACATGCAGCTCAACATTTACACACAAATCAAGGCATAGCCTAATCTGTCTTCTTGTCAGAAACTAGCCGGTAAATGTGACAGCAGGTAGACAGATGAGTGTTTTCTACAGTTTTAGCACAGGCGCTAAAAGATCTCTAATAACAGGCCTGACAGCACGGCAGAATATGGAAAGCCACTTGCGGGCTCCATATGGCTCAGAGAACTAAACTGTTAGCAGAGACAAACAGTGAAGCAGTGAACTGAGACTCATGACATGCACCAGCAGACACAAGCAACGAGACTTTTCACCATCGTTAAAATGCAGATGAATTAAGAGTTAATGCTCATTTCTGTATTTGAGGTAAAAGCTTTTTTACCTTTTGTTTTTGTAGCGCACACATGGAACTGGTTAAGAAGTACCTGAAAGTTACCTGCTAGTAAGAGAGATTGCTGCTGCTGAGAGAATTGAGGGTTTGCTGCTCCTCTGTTTCAGCGTAGATGAACAAAGTGGTGGGTGAATGACAGAAACACTAGTAGACACACAAACACCTGCTTGACAAACACAGGCGTGTCCCCTTCTTTTCCCTCCAATGCTGACAGGAAAAAAAAAATAACGGCAGAAACATTTGTGGGAGAGTTTGATGGGAGTTGACGCAGTTAGACTGACTAACTGATTGCATAAATCTTCATCCACAAAGCACCATTTACAGAATTCATGGGCACACAGCCAATAAAAATGCCCAGAAAACTACATCATGACAAGAGGCATCTTGCAACGAAAACAAACAAATGACTAATTCTGCAACAATTCATATTTTAGTAGGTAGATTATGGACTCAGTGCTAATGAAAACATGACATAATGAGAGATGCCTTGTTGGTTACAGCGCAAATATTGAACTTAAAATGAATGATGAAAAGTACCAAATCCACCAACGCCTAAAACCTTTGTGAAAAGTGATACAGAATGATAGAAGGCTTAAAAACAGGGTGCAAGGGCAATGAGAGATTATAGCACACTTGTGTAATATTTGCACTACAGTACATATTATCAAAGCATGTTAGAGCATCTCTCTCCTAAGAGTGACACAGTGTGTGATTGAACATGTCATGGTCCGATGAAGCAAGAGAGCGAAAGCACACAGCCGCTCCCTTACAGCTGACAAAACTGAGAGTGTTGCGATTCCCACTGCATGTACAGGCATTTCCCCTTCATTCCAGCACATTCTTAAACTCACTCACACACCTAGAGACTTGGCAGGAATGTGCAGAAATACATTCAGAATGCACTCACATCTGACTGAAAGTTCAGGGCCCTCATTAATTTTCCAACAGGGGGCGGCAAATATACACCTATTCACCCCATTAATCCTCTTCTAATTATGAACCATTTTACATTACATTTTACATTTACTTTTTAATGCTTTGCTAAAAGTACATTTCAAGATATAATGTAGCCATTGAGATGCGTTAATATGAATTATAATGAATCAATCTGTTTATACTGTAAAT